AATCACCTTCAGAGAGGAGAGCTTGTTCACTCGGCCCATGGTGAACTGAGGGAGTCCACTCGACTGCCCCGGCGTCGGCTGATCCTGGCAGTAGAACCAGGTCGACTGCCAGCCTCTGACTGACTCGGGAAAAGTCATGGCTGGGAAGGTGCTCTTGTTCCTCACCTGGATCCCCAGACCCCCACACATTTGGACTACTCGGGTTTTCTCGCCTTCTTCACGGTCTGAGAGCGACACGTGAATATGTGCTTGAACAAGCCCCAGTGCGGTCGACAACCCAGAAAACTCTCACACATGGACACAAACGCGGCAAGATAGGCGATAGAATTCGGGGTGAAGTGGTGGAGTTGCGCCCCAAAGAAGTTCAAGAAACCACGGAAGAAAACGCTCGGCGGCAAAGAAAATCCGCGGTCGACATGGGTAGCCAGAAGCACGCACTCACCCTCTTCCGGCTGGGGCTGCCACTCTTTCCCCGGAAGCCTTGCAGCTCCATGGGGGATCAGGCCCTCGTTGGCCATGTCGAGCAGATCCTTCTCCGTGATGGTCGATTGGATCCAATCTCCCTGGACCCAGCCTTTCGGCAGGCGAGATCTAGACGAAGACCCGCCGCGACTGGTGGATCTCCCCTTCGCCTTCTCCGTCGCCAACGCCTTCTTCGCGCGTTCCAGCGCCGCCGTCTTCTCCTTGACCATGGCTGCCGGCGAGACGCGCGAGGAGAAGTTGTGCGGAGGCGAGAGCGAGCGCGTTGGGCGGAGACGAAGGGAGCAGAGAGAGAATGCTGAGGCACTGCTCAAAAAACCCTCGCCGGGCGCATTTATAAGATCCCTTCCGAGTGGATGACAAGTGGGCCCGGTCGATCTAATCATATCCCGAAACAGTTGCGCGGACGTGATACGTGGCGAAAAAAGCGGCGCGGGGATCGAGGCGTCTATGCCCTGTCCCATCCGAGCGCCGCGGTCCGCCCCGCTTCGCACGCTTCCCCAAATTTCGTATCCCGCGGAATCCGCGAACGGCAGATCGGTCTGCCAGACGCGGGATTTCCTGCGATCCGTCGCTCGGAAATCGGCGAAGTCCAAAAGATCACTCGACGAAAGAAAAGAATGGATCGAGTCGACTGAAGAAAGGTTGCTCACTATCAACAAAGAGATTTTTTGGTTCAAAACAACGCACGACCAGTATGCGAAGGCTAATCAGAAACAGCATCAACTCCTTCATCACTCAAACCTCAATCCATTCGGGGGCTAATGATGGAGTCATGTACCTAGGGTAGGGTCACAGACCTGATCTAAGTACCCTGCCCAAGGACACCCTTAGAAGAGATCACCTTCCAGTCGACCTACGAGGGACTCACTCGACTGACTTGAAAGACTCGACCACGAAGACTCACTCGACCACCAGAAGGTCAAGAGGCACTCTGCACTGCAACGGTCTGTAATTAAGTAGACTTTATGATAGTAAAGACACTTTATGTGGGGCGTTACCAGTAACGCCCCAGACTTAATGTACCTTAAACCCTTCATTACGTGGGTTGGCTGGGGTCCTGGCACACTCTATATAAGCCACCCCCCTCCACAGGCAGAAGGGTTCGGCACCTTGTAATCCATATACACATAATCCACTCAACCGCCTCCGGGCTCCGAGACGTAGGGCTTTTACTTCCTCCGAGAAGGGCCTGAACTCGTACATCTCTTGTGTTTACAACCTCTCCATAGCTAGGACCTTGCCTCTCCATACTTACCCCCCACTCTACTGTCAGACTTAGATCCACGACACGCCCTGCTCGCATCTACCGAATCGTTATTTACCTTTACTGTATCGTTTCACCTTGTCGTCACTATTTACTTTCCTCCCATGCCAGCTGAGCTACTTAAGCCAGCCCTCTCCTTTGTAACCGTATGCCATTTCTGAGAATTCTTTCTACCAAACACTTTACAGCTAATATAGCATATACCATTTGATGCTTATACTCTCGTGCTCAAGTTACAAACCCTAGCTTTCCCCCAAGTCGACCTCGATCTGGTTATGGGGCGTGACAATTGGTATCATGAGCCTGGTCGCTCCTTGGTGGCGTAGTGTTCTGCGTGAGGCAAGTAATTTCCCACCGTCCGCACCCTCTCTTGCGGCGGTGGGGTATGGCGTCGTGGCGACGGGGTTGGTAGGGGTGCGGGCGGCGGTAGACCCATTCGGCAACAGCTCGTGGTGCAGGATTGGTTGCCGGAACACATCGTTTTGGTGCTAAAATCCCTGGTCCTACAGCGGGTGGTGTTGCACAGCGGCGGCGAGATTCATCGGCGCCGGAAGGGTCCAGAACTTCAGATCGGGTTTCTGCAACTGGTTGTAAAATGCCTCTGACACTCCGGGATCAGGATGGGGCGCGCGAAGACGTGGGTGGATGAAGGTGACATACCTGATTTGCTTGCTATGAACGGCGATGTGTTGCAAAATCGAGAAGACACGACCGAACTTAAAGGTGATATGGAGGATCTGCGCAAGGATGTCCATGCCGCCATCTTTGTCCTGAATCAACAGTTGGCAACTATGGCCGATCGCCGATGTGCTCAAGAGTTTTGTACCGAATCGAGCCTCCCCTTCAGTGCCACCGGGTCAAAATCAGAAGGCTCCAGCGACTGAAGCTCCTCAAACATTAACCGAAGAGCCGAAGCAGGACACCAGCACTAGGCCTCTCACTGAAGAACTTTGCAAGCGTTTGGCTATTGAACAGGAGAAAACCAAACAGTTTGCGCTTCAGATGCCTCCAAACTGAACGAATAAATCAGTGCATTGAGAATTGCCTGAGATGTATGACATCAACTGAACCAAAGAAGTGGACATTGCACCTAGTCGATCTGCTCTGCCAGTGAGCCAGGCCCGAGCGATGCAGCTCGAGCGCACGTGGTGGCTCTGGCCGTGCTAGCCTGTAAGTGCAAACGCACGTGTTTTTGTTTCACTCACCTCCCTAATCACCTTGACATGATACCTTCTGATCTGCACAATGGTGCTTCGATTCGAAATAAGCTCTACGCGAAAAAGATGCACATCGACGTTGTAGTTCCATTCAGACGATCAGTTCCTAATTTCAAGGACTGTATATCTTGAATTTCATGCTAGTGTTTGGAGGTTTTTAGACAAATTTTGGCAAAATGTTCGCATCCGGTCGACCGTTTGAAATTCCCTTTGACCACTAGCTTCATCTTGCTGTTACACACGACTTTCGTGTAGCATGTTTTATGTTTTGATGATCGTAGACGAGTAGATCTATCCTATTATACCACACAATCGTGTTCATGTGGGCATGTTATGAAAACCAATGAATTTTGGCAAAATCTTTGCACCCGGTCGACTGTTTGAAATTTCACACGACTTTCCTGTTGTACGTTTTCTGTTTCGATGGTCGTAGATGGGTAGATCTATATCTCCCTACTGACTGTGCATCCGTGTCACACCTGGGCGTCAGTGGGCTGAAAAATGATTCGCGCCCAGTCCGTTTCATGAACGTTGGATGAGCATCCGAGGGCTGCCACCTTCTGGCCTTCTTTTCTTTCTTCAGCACCCCGTTTCTGCTCTAGGTAAGTTCACCACGTGGATAAGAGGTGAGATTAATCATCTGTGCGTGCATAACCAAACAGCAGCGTGTTGCATCTGAGGAGAAAATGCTTGTGACCAAACAATCTTGTGTATTTCTTCTCAGCCTGGCTGAGGAGGATGCAGGTAACCAAACAATCTGCACAACATGGTTTTTACCCTGTATTCACCGCCAGGCCAACTCAGCCAGGCTCACCGGAGACGAGAAAGTGGTGCTGGTAGCCAAACAGGCAATAATTGCTTGTACCTGGCATTTGCAGTGTTTCTCCGCCGTTCCCTTGTTGAAGGCATTGTTTAGAGTTTGATCAGACTTGATCTTCAAGGTGAAAACCCATTATCTGGCCTTAAATGGTTGGATTCGGCAACGGCGGCGCTTGCATGTTGTTCCCTTACCGGAAGGAACCGTTCCTTTTGTGAGAACTATTCTCATAGTCTATGTGTTGTCAAGGGATGGTCGGTGTTGCTGCTTGTCGTGGATCACCATTGCTCATCCCCCCCCCCCTCTTTTTTGTAATAATTTGGCTGTGTGCATCCTCAATGTCTTGATATCATGCAACGGTGGCGCTTGCATGTCCTTGCTCTTGATATCATGTTGTTGTAGAGGCCGGGTGTAATTGGTGTCTTCTCTATATTAATAGAGAACTCTTTATCGGAAAAATGTTATTAGCGGAAGTAGGACTACATTAAAAAGGAGATATAACTATCCAAGCAAGTTATAATAATTTGTTAATGGGAAAGAAGTAGTCTGAATTTGTTATTCAGTCGATCCAGTGTGTGTGGCCATATTTTAGCATGCTACCATCCAGTAAGTTTGATTGGGCAACAGCCATGAAGTTCTTAAAATTTTATTTCGGACCATCATTTCATCTGGCGTTCTCATTCAAATGCACCCCCCTGTAATAGACATTAGTACTGTTCTTCAACGGCGTAGCCAGGAATTGTGGACACCCCGGACTGACTGCTTATGGCCTGGGCTGCCTGGGGCCCAGCAATGCCTTTGCTGTTCTTCATCTCTAGATATTCTTTGCGCAATCCAACATGTATTTCATACGGCAAAACATTTTATGCACACACATTTCGACACAAGTACATAATTTCTTGGTTTGATTTCTTTGACTAGCTTATAAGGATTTCTGATTGTTCTCCTTTGTGCATATTTCTTTTGAAGCTTTCCTTGTACTCCCTCCGTTCCTAAATATTTGTCTTTTTAGAGATTTCAAATGGACTACCACATACGGATGTATATAGACATATTTTAGAGTGTAGATTCACTCATTTTGCTCCGTATGTAGTCACTTGTTGAAATCTCTAGAAAGACAAATATTTAGGAACGGAGGTAGTATACGTCTAAGATCCTGTTGGCATTTACTGAGTTTTAACTCTTTGATTTTCCACTGTTGTACTTATTTTCTCTGCAGTGAGCTGGAGCTTAAACCTGAGGGAAAACTTTCTGTTACTGTAGTAAAAGCAACATCTCTGAAGAATAAGGAGTTGATTGGTAAATCTGATCCCTACGTGACCCTGTATGTGCGTCCCATGTTCAAGGTCAAAACAAAAGTCATAGATGACAACCTAAATCCTGAATGGAATGAAACATTTGAACTGATTGTTGAAGACAAGGAAACCCAATCTGTCATTTTTGAGGTAATTCTACGTTGTCCCTCCCCTCATCCTTTGAAGATGCGACTGCATTGTATTTCCCGGGAAAATAATGGGTCGTTCTCAACCAAATCTGTTTACAATATGTATTTCGCGGATGCAACGCGATGTAGCTTGGCTGATGCTATTTGGCACAACAAGGCCCCTCTCAAGTGCAACACGATTAAGATATTCACTAGCTAAATGCCTGTGCTTTGCTACGGGCAACAAAATAATATTAATGCAATTTTTTTACACCCAAATATTGAGTGTTTTTAAGACTTACATGAAGGGCAACTTGGTCAGTAATAACATTGACAATTATTAGTTTATTTGCCATCACGGTTAACTTAGTTATGCTGCTTCGCCAGATATGGTACAAACTATATTATGATTTTACACACACCTCAACTCTCTTGGTACCAAGTTAATTATTTTACACAGAGAACTGAATTGGATTTACACATTATAATGGCAAGTTGAGCGTTGTATAGCAGCAATGAGTGTCATGTCTCATATGTCATCATATGCCACACCCGCTTATTCCAGAGTTGTTATTAATCCTCTAGGAGAAATTTATTTGACACACCTACCTTTTTCATATGCTTTGAATTAGGCTTAGATCAATATTTAATATGATACACAGTTATACACATGCATGGCGTCAATGACAAATAGATTTCTGAGTGAACAATATAGATGAGCTCCAGCAAACCTTGGAGGAACACGAGTGAGGACTGAGTAGTCGGACGCGAAGCCATGGCACATGGCACACAACCACACGCGTAATCTCTCCGCTTCTGCCATTCTCATTGAGCACCACAAGCTTGTTGAACGAGTAGCAGCCTTTCCGGCGAGCTCAGGCTGTTGGCTGCATGCGCTGCCTTACCATTTGACCTCCACGCGTGCCCCCCGCAACAACATTAGTTGCCTTGGGGCACAGGCTTTGAGGGTGATGAGGTGGGAGGCGCAGGTGGACGAGCCTGTTGTGCATCCAAGATGAAGGGATTGAACCATCACCATCGCAGTGCAGGCCACCGGGGAGCGTCCTGCTACATCTGTAGTTCAGGTATCTAAAACTGAACCTACATTGGACTCATTGGCTAGTGCAGCGCACGAGTTGGGCCATGGGCCATGTAATCCAGCGAGGGCCCAAGGGCATGTAGCTACTTAAGTGTGCGTGAGACCACAGTTAAGGTTTTACCAATAAGAAAGTTGCGGCTACTCGCTCTCACCCTCTCGTGCTTCCTCACTTGCTCCCTCTCTCTTCTCACCTAGTCCCCTCCTCTCGATCCCCAATCCATCAGGCATTACATAGCCTTCCAAATTTTTTTCTTCTACCTCTGATCGCCGCCGCCGCTCTCAAATTGTCTTGACCAGTCGGTAACATCCACCGTGTTAAGTGCGGTTCATCTCGGTGAATCGCTTGAAATCCTGCATGGGATTCGATCTGGTTCGGAACGAGACGACAACTCCGCCATCCAAACTGTTCGCTCAGAGCTGCCACGTCTTCTCGGCCATGGTGGAAACCACTGACCTGTTGAAGATGCTGCTCGAAACCGTCATCCGTCCCTCGACGCGAATCAAACCACCGCTGACCAACGCGTCGAGGCTCAGCTCGCTTACAACAAGCAGTTTTCTCACGAGCTCAAAAATCTCGCCAAACAGATCAACCTCACCCAAGTGGATGTCAACGAGGTGCGCAAGTCCACTCCCACCATCAATTCTGTAGCAGCAGCAACTGCGGGTGCCATATCACCCACCCGGTGCCACAACCATCACCGATCCGATGGTTACACCACCAGCCACGGCTCACGCATCGCCGCTCTATACCGGCAGGGCAGCACAACTACGTTTTGCGTGCCTCGTCAACCGCGAGCCGCCACTGCTCCCGACGCTGCACCAAGACCATGACCCAGCGCCCCACTTCACCAAACCGCTGAAGCATGACTTTTCGTGGTTTGATGCCAATGCACGCGCATCTGGCTCGAGCGATGCGTCTCCTACTTTGAGCTCTACTAGGTGCCGCCACACAACTGGGTCACCATCGCGGCGTTGTACATGGATGGCTTGGCCGCGATGTGGCTCCAAGCATTTCGGTAAACACATCGGGGGCTCACGTCTCACGTGGTCTGCGTTCTGAGCAGCGCCCCATGAATTGTCACTGGCTCGAGGAGACTATCGTGTTCGTTGCCGAGGGAAACATGGTTTAGTTACATGGCGTCCAGACAACCAATCTCCCACTCATCTCGGAGCTTGACGCCTATGAGTTGCATCGCATGGAAGCGGCGAATGACATATGGATCGTGGCAGTGGTGACTGTCGCTCCACCTAACGCGGACGTCGCTAAGCCTGTGCCGACGATCATTCAGAAGCTACTCGAGGACTTTGAAGATGTGTTTGTCGAGCCATCTGGACTGCCACTACGACGCCAGCATGATCACGGGATCAACCTCGAGCCAGGCACGCCCCCAATCAACACTGGACCCTATCGATACTCGCCTGCTCAAAAGGAAGAGATCAAGAAGCAAGTTCAAGACTTGCTCCAGTCTGGTGTGATCATGCACAGTATGAGCCCGTATGCTGCTCCTGTTCTGCTGGTCAAGAAGAAAGACGGTAGTTGGAGATTCTGCATCGACTTTCGCCACCTCAACAAGATCACCGTCAAGAACAAATTTCCTCTTCTAGTCATCGACGAACTCCACGACGAGCTTGCGGGTGCATCTTATGTTTCCTAGGTAGACCCCTTCGTGCGGGCTACCACCAAATTCGCATGCGTGCCGAGGACGAGGAGAGGATGGCTTTCAAAACCCATCATGGCCATTTCCACTTTAGGGTGATGCCTTTCGGCCTCACCAACGCGTCGGCAACGTTCCATCGCTTCATGAACACCATCTTCACCAAGTTTTTCCGTAAGATTGTCATCATATTTCTCGACAACATCCTCATCTTCAGCATTGACCTTTTTTGCCAAGTTTATCCATAAGTTTGTCATCATATTTCTCGACGACATCCTCGTCTTTCAACACTGACCTGCAGGAGCATGAGCAATACTTTAGCATGGTGCTCTCCATTCTCTGCAGTAGGAACTGTACGTCAAGGCCTCCAAGTGCTCTTTTGCATAGCGGAGCATCGACTACTTGGGCCATGTGATCTCCAAGGATGGAGTCGCCAGCAAGACCAGTGCAATGCATGCCTGGCCCATACCAACTGAAGCTTCATGCACTAGCCAACGCAACCAACAACCCAAACTAATGGAAAGGGCTAAGGCAATCCACATATACACTTCAACACCCTCTCTCACGTGTGACGCGAAAAGTCAACACGTGGATAGACAGAGAGGTATGGCTCAAGAGGCCTATATGTGGACACAAAGGGGGAACCCAAATTTTGGTTAAATTGCGGAAGCCAGGATTTTAACTCAAGACCTTAGGCCCTGTTTGATAACAAAGTATTTTTGGAGTATTTCAAGAATACTGCAGTTTCTCGAAATACCTTAGTTTTAATTACTATGAACTGTTTGGCTATGACTGAAAACTGTGGTATTAAAACTACAGTATTTACAAAACCACGATATTTTCTCTGTTTTAAAAAAAGGACCCTCGACCTCTTTTTTAAAAACAGAGCATGCGGAAGAAAGTAAGAAAGACCGCATGGTTTATCTTCTTCCTCCCTCTAAGCTGCAGCCACCATGTTGTTTCTGGACATCGTCTCCGTCAGGGACAAACCAAGAGACGTCAAAGGAGAGAAGAGCGTGAGATGTTGATATTTGTCCTCCACCTCTCCGCGCTGGCCGCTGGCACCTGCCTTTGTGGCCGCTTTGTTACCCCTCCTATTGCACAGTGCCAGCTAAGAGGAACGAGGCACCCTTGAACTTGGAGAGCGAGCCCACGTTTAGTCGCCGGCAGCTATGCTTCGTGTTCAAGTGCCTTCTTTTCCTGTAAGCTAGCTTTGTGCATGGTAATTCAGTGCATGCAGCTGGTTGTTATGCATGTCCATTCAGTGCGTCTAGCTAGCTAGCTAGCAACATGCACACTGCAACTGCTTCATATGCTAGTTAGCTAATTTACGTTGGTGCACATAAGCACTTGCCAAACGGGTCACAGTATTCTCAATACTTTAAAATACTTTGGTATGTGAAAACTGTGGTATCTTGTACCTATTGGCAAAAATACTGTGGTTTTCAATACTTTGGTTTTTCTAGTACTTTGCTATCAAACATAGCCTTAGGCTCTGATACCATGTTAAGCTTCATACACTAGCCAACACAACCAAAAGCCCGAACTGATGGAAAGGGCTAGGCAATCCACATATGCACTTCAACACCAACCACCGCCATGGAGCTTCGGGTTTACTTGGGCTCACCGGGTACTACCGGAAATTCGTCCCCAGCTATGGTGTCCTTACTCACCTCCTGGCCAAGAAGGGCTCAATTGGGACGAGCGAACCCAAGAGACGTTTGATCTCCTTAAGCAAGCCACGGCTCGGACGCCCATGCTCCCTTTGTTGGACTTCTCCCAGCCGTTTGCCATCGAGATGGACGCCTGTGACACGGGCATGGGCGCGGTGCTCATGCAGGACGGTCACCCTGTGGCTTACATGAGCAAGGCATTGGGCATCAGGAACCAGAAGCTATCGACCTACGAAAACGAATTTCTCGCCGTGAACAAATGGCGAGCCTATCTCTAGCACGGGCCATTTGAAAATGTCACCAACACAAGAGCACGTGTGCCCTGGGCGACCAACAGTTGGGCACGAAGCTCCAGCGCAAGGTAATGTCAAAACTTGTCGGCCTTCAGTTCACACTCCGGTAAAAGAAGGGCACGGACAATGGGGCAGCCAATGCGCTCCGCACATGGGGCACTAGCTCGCACTCAACGCGCTCTCCATCTGCCAACCACAATGGCTATAGGAGGTAGACAACTCCTATGAAACAGACGCGACACACAAAGAGCTCCTCGCCCAGCTGGCGATCCAAAGCCCTGGCGACCAAGGCTGCGTGTTGC